AAACCAAGGAAACGCTTTAAGCGCCACCTGCTGGCAGAGAGTGAATCTGCATCTCGTTCAGCTCTTGCTGTTTCATGCAGATATTTTTATGTATAGTTTCACAAAACTGAAGTCAAACCATTCTGTTTTTGCTTCAAATTTCGAAATTATACAATCTAATTTAGATTAAAAACTGCTCATGTTCACATGTATGCAGCATCTTTGTTTGGATCAAGATTAAAATGCCGTGGTTGCCTCTTTTTTTTAAACGGAAAGAGCACAGACAAAGCCTTATTTTGTTTATATGAAGAGATTTATTTTATTTGTGTTTGATTTGGAGCTTGTTTTAAAATTTCAATGTAGTTTTGTTATTTACATTTACATTATATTTAAATTGTCATTTAGTAGACACTTTTGTCCAAAGCGACTTACAAATGACAATAGAAGCAATCAAAACCAACAAAAGAGCAATAATATCCAAGTGCTATATTAGTATATTATTATAGTGTTATTTCAGTTTCACAAAGAAATGTGCAACATTTTGTCCAAGCAATAATAAAAGGACACATTTAATTTATAATTTGTCTTAAATCTCATTTTGTAAAAAATTATAATAATAATAATAATCGTGAATTCGAATCGAAGCGTGAAATCAAAATCGTGAATCGAATCGTGAGTTGAGTGAATCGTTACATACCTAGTCATGGTACTCTCCAAAATGGCGGAAGATGTTAACTCGGGGAAAAACTTGTTGAATAAATTGTTATTTTTGTTTTCTTTGTGCACAAAAAGTATTCTCGTAGCTTCGCATAATTTTTCGCAAAAGAGTTGAGCCACTGATGTCACATGGACTGTTTTATCGATGTCCTTACTATGTTTCTGGACCTTGAAACCTTTCAGTTGCGTTCTGTTCTATGCAGGTTCAGAAAGCTCTCAGATTTGATCAAAAATATCTTAATTTATGTTCCGAAGATGAACAAAGGTCTTACAGGTTTGGAACGACATGAGGGTGAGTCAATGACAGATGACAGAATTTTCATTTTTGCATGAACTAACCCTTTAGGAAAGCGACGTCATGCTGACTTACTGTATTGACGTTCAAAAACTCTTACTATTGTTTGTCTGTACAGGCCTCAGCGCCTAAACAATGGGGGAGCATACCTTCAGATATGAGCCATAGTATTTGGTGACATAAGGGCTGTCACACTGGCTGAGCACCGTGATCTCCTGCTGAATGTCCTCGATCTCATCTTCTGCCTCCTCCAGGTCGATGATCTTGATGGCCACCACCTCTTTAGTGCGATTGTTGATGCCCTTGTAGACCTCACCGAAAGACCCCTTCCCAATGCGCTCCTGTTTCGTGAAATACTCCTCCGGGTCAAGCCGGGAATTCTGTTGGAGAGAGAGAGAGCAGAGGAATGATGTGAGATTCAATGACAGATGTAGATGAACTTCAATAATCAGTTACTTACTATGGACCCTTATAGATTACATCACATCCATTGGGATGCTCTACTATACATGTTTGAGAAGCATATGAACTATTTACATATATATATATATATATATATATAATTTAAATTAAATGAAACAGACATGACATGAAACGGAACAAAAACAGACGTCCCTTTCCAATGATCTGCATTCAAACTGATTACTCAGACACAATATAACGTTACGACAGCCCTCAATTACCATGACATGCCAGGCTTAATAAACATTATTGTGGTCTGACTGATTATGAGATTATACCCCTGGATGCAGAAGGAACAGACTCGGCTGGGCTGCGGATTTACCTGGTTCTGCATGTCGCGGAGGTGCGCCATCCTGACGGCAGGTCGCTGTGGATGACAGCAGATGTGACCCTTTCTGCCAAAGGAGGGGTGCTGGAAAACTCTTCAACGGTTTGCTCTCCCTCCTCCGATCCCCTGCTTAGCTAGCTAGTTACATACAAAAACACCTCTGCATGTTCTGTTCGTCTGCCGTGTTTTCGGCCTCCAATCCCTTGATGGCGGACCCCGCAGCCTGGCGAGAATCACAGTTAGGTGTCGTGTGACTCCATGTATGAAAACATTTGAGTACGAGCTACTCACTTTCCGCGTCTAATTGTTTTTTTATATTGATCACCTCACGTTCGGGCGACTCTTCATTTATTGCTTGCTGGAGAACAAAATAATAGGAGCAACAGCGCATGCGCAGCTTCTGATTCAAGGAACGGGGGGTTGTGGGAGTTGTAGTCATACTGGTAGAAGGAATCGACATGAAATGGAAATTCACCCTATCTGTTTTCAAAGGCATTATTGTGAACCATTTATCCGTTTATTTATTTATACCTCGTATTAATGTTCAATCAAAGTGACATAACTGGACCTTCAGGTGAACACGACAGTCTTCTCCATTTAGTTTGCTCAAACCCTGCACGCTTCTGTGCTCTGTTTGCCTCCACTTTTGAGATGCAATGCCCCCATCTCAAAATCCAATCAACAACCAAAACTAGAACAACCCTGCTGAAAAAAACAGCTAAAGCCAGCCTGACCAGGTTGTGGCTAGAAGCGATACAGCTCCGACCAGAAACTAACAATGAAATTTAATTTTCTACCTATTAGATTGTGTTTAATTAACATCTACATCTACCCCAACCCTAAACCTACCCCTTACTGCCTTACAATAATGTAAAAATAGTAATTAATTATTGTTGTACAGTGTAACAAAAATTATGCTATATTGATGTGCACATGCCCAGTAGTTGCAGCTGTCTCCCTTCTAGCCTTAACCGCCTGACCAGCTAAAAATGTGGTCAAAACCACTCTAAAACCAGCCTGATAAACCAGCTACAACCAGGCTGGGAGACCAGCTAAAACCAGCCTGACCAGCTTAGGCTGGTGTTAGCTGTTTTCTTCAGCAGGGAAAGTCCCTCCCTTCATTTCTAATTTTTTCATAATCTGTTAAAAACTTAGATGTACGTTACAATGCAAAGAAAATGTCACAACTTCCATTTCACTGCAATTTTATCCAACCTGATAGGTCATGTTGAAAAAAACAACAACAGCTAAAGCCAGCCTAAGCTGGTTGGCTGGTTTTAGCTGGTCATCCAGCCGGCTCTAGGCTGGTCATAGCTGTTTAGTAGGCTGGTTTTAGAGGGGTTTTGGCCACTTCCTCAGCTGGTCAGGCTGGGAGACCAGCTGGAAGAACCAGTTAAAACCAGCTTGGCCAGGAGACCAGCTACCTCCAGCTTAAACCAGCTAAGACCAGCCAACCAGCTAGGCTGGTTTTAGCTGGGGGGGTTTTCAGCAGTGACAGAGACAACTACAGGTGAACATGGTAAAAGTTTCAAACCAAATAGTAGTAACTACAAGTATGGCATTTCAGATGCAGCTCAAGTCTTGGGGGCAAAAACACCACCGCTTGACCAATTCCAGCTGACTTTATCTTCAAATACACTAGAAAATATCATGTTTCAATATCATTGTGTGAAACGATTATCAATTGGCCTAAAGCAGTACTTTTGTGGGTGGTGATGTGGTGGGTCAGCATTAAATGGAAGTATTTTCTTTCCTGCTGTGACGTACTGTATATATCAGAGTGAAACAGAAAAATATTGTGTGGGACTTGATTTTGTCCATCTGGAATGGATTGGATCATTGTCATTTACTAATTGCTGTGGTTTTATGTGAGTGACAGGTTTAGGGGGGAGGGATTATTGTCCCGTACACATCATCAGAGAAGAGATGTCATCAGGGGAGGAGTTAATGTTTTTGATTTAAGATCATGAGTGCTCCTCAGTCGGAAGGGTGCATTTCTCGGCTGCCACGTCATCAAGCACTGTTGAAGGATGCCTCAATTTGAAGGATCTTTAGTGGGCAGTCTTCATCTTGTGTCCTTCGTTCGGCCTGTTTTGAAGGATGCATCAGGTGTATCCTTTGTGTCCTTCAAATACCCACAAACCTTTGCACACATTCAGATCCATGAAAAAGAATTAGTTAAAAATGAAACGGCACTGAGCTTGTCCAATGTCTATGTAATGCAAGATGAAGCCATTGTTTTCTGTTGTTTTGTTGTAAATAAATCACATAATACTAAACTGCATAATGGGAGACCACAGACAATTGCATTAATAGAAATGTTATTGCAGTAGAAACACATTAATTTACATTTAAATTTAATAATTTATCAGACGCTTTAATCCAAAGCGATTTACGAGGACAGAAGCAATCAAACCAACCATATAGTAAATATAAAGATTTTAAGTATTCTTCAGATTGTAATTTGAGTATTTTCATAACATAGCCATGCACACTAGTCTCATTCTAGTGTTTAATGCTGAGCAGGACTCTAGCCTTGAAACCTCAGAAGGACTGGACTAGGAAGGATGCAGCCTCCCATTTGAGAAGCACCCAAAAAGATGTGCTTGGATAAATCATTTATAATAATCACTGCAATATCCAAAAATAAGAATGGTTGGTTCTGATTTCATGGTGACTTTGTTTGTAGCAATATAGAGGTTTGTTGCCTCTATTATCTGTGCACTTAAATCTACACTAAATAGATTCATTAGGCTTAACAGCATAATGGGATTGCGTAAAAATAAATGTTTGACAAATACAGTTCAAATAGACTGCATACAGTAGCCTACTTGGTGCATGAGCAGGATACACCAAATATAGTCTATTAATAACAATTTGTCATAATTTCATAAGGTATATGGGTCAGAACATTTTTGCTACCCACTGGATCTACACAAGTAGGCCTACTGTTTGGGTCAGATTACATTTTTTTGTTATTTTAATGCAATGAATAGGTCTTAAAACAGTCCTCCTTTACGGATGCATTGAATGAAACTGGCAGTGGCATTCGTCCTGTAAGAATCTCAGTATCAATGCATACTCACACTGAGGTGTTCATGAGTCAAACACAGGACTTTATAGGGTTGTGTTGGTTTGTAGTGAGAGGATTAGCTCGCTAAACATAGACAGATAATAACTTACCTGGTCAACCACTAGAGCAAAGCATGAATGAACTTCCACTGATCCTTAGGGAAGAGTCATTGTGTGAAATAAACATTTTATTTGGAGCCTTCACACCTACAGCAGGTCTGTTAGACAAAACACTCATCTTTTAACACGAGTGTGATTTTTTAAAGAAATTAATAGGCTATTATGTTGCACGCTATAGGCTATGTATGAATTTGATAAACTAAGATTTTAAAGAGATGATTAGAATTCATTTTATTTGATATGACTAGACTACAAGCATTGCAAGTCTTGCCAGGATGCCACAGACTGTTTATATTTGGACTAAGCCGTTCACTTGGTTGATTAGTGGTTACCTAAGCGTTCCAGGTAGCGAGAAAAATCGCTTCCAAGTGTCCGATTCAGGGCACAGGCGAACAGCGACCTCAGCACGATGGAAATATGACAGAAAGTCCATTTCAACATCGTATGTTCTTCTCATGCGAAACAGAAGACTGATGGAAGATGACAAATCATAAAAGCGGAAGTTGGTCGATCGATCAGAGTAAATCAGTTTGCTAGCTGAGAAATTTTAGTGGGCTGTTCAATTGCAGCCTAGTTGTTTTCCCTGATTGGCTATTTACGTTTCGGCGAACCTGTTTCTGATTGAATTTATCTAGACTTTCGTCGGAGAAATGAGCTGCGTAATGTTAGTGGAGTTTGTGGGGTGTTTATTTAGGCAACTTCAACCAGAGAAGTTGCAGTGTTTTGTGCTCCGGTCAAACAAACATGCGGGACCTGAACGTGCTTGAGCGCTCCTCCGTGTTCGCCGCGGAGATGATGAAGATGGAGGTGTTTGATCGGACGCCCACGGAAAAAGAGCTCGTCTCTCAGTCCAAGGAACTCTGTAGAGACTTCATTCACTCCAGAATCGTAAGGGAAGGACTAAGTTGGTCAAAAGTCGAGTCTGATCTGCCCGAGCCACACGGAGCTCTTGTAGATATATCTGTGGTGCTGCTAAAACTGGGTAAGAAAACCACGAGTAAGTGAATTGATGCTCTTAACAGGTGTGATGCTATTTCAGTATTTATCATCCAGATAAATCAGGACTATTTCATAACATCTCAACTCAAAATCAGCTTCTTTCTTTCTTTCTTTCTTTCTTGTTCAATTTCTTTCCGAATTGTCTTATAGCTACAAGGAAACATGATGCATAAAGAGATGGAGGTGAAAATTTCAAAAAGTTTACACTCTCTGGATTGATTTGCTGCTCAAGAAACCTTTTTTTTTAATTATTATTATTATTATTAATATTTAAAACAGCTGAGTACAAGTGATCTGGAAGTTGTGTTTTATAGGCAGTGTTTGTGAGCATGACCTCACTGTCCTTGCATTGAAGTGTTTTAAAAAAAATGAATAAACATATTTAAGTATTTTATTATTTTTATTTTCTCTAGGTATCTTGTTGTTGTTTTTATTGCTAATTCAGTACCTAATTGGCTATTTTGAGACCCAAAAAAAAAGAGGACATCACTACTACTATAAATGGAGTGAATTTGGAGATATGGGATTTGTTCCAAATGTAAGTGAAGCGATGTTAGCCTGAGCAGGGTTTGAGGTTTAAAAAAAACATTTCAAGACATTAATTTCATTGTTTTTATTAAATTACAGTAAAATTGTAATCTAAAACTGGAAGAGCTATTGACTTAAGCCTTTTATTGGATTTCAGTGGTGTGTTTGAGAGGGGCACTTTGATCATCAGTTTAATGACAAGTTCTACAGTGGTCTTTTTTCGGAACATGGAAAAAAGCCTAAAAAGGACATACCCACATTCTTTCCTTTGTACATATTTGGTCACATATTTTATCTGGGTTCTGCTTCTATTGATGTACATAATGGTTGAAGTGGAGTCCTAAACCATGGCAGTATCATTCCACTCTGCCTGATGATCTTCTCACAGACCTTACTACAGAAGATAGAACGTTGTAAGGTTTGTGAGGAGTTATCCTAAATGAATGCTGAATATGAAGGAACATAAACAATTGAAATAGTCCCTGACTCATGCATTAGTGAAGCATGGCAGTGTGTCATGTCAGATTTAAAGGTGTGAAAGAAGACATGGCCAATTTAGGACTTGCAACCTCATGGAATTCTCATTATATCCTGTTATCTAAAATGCTGTATGATTATGATTAATGCAAAAGTGTTCGAGCTGCTAAAAATGGATGGCTCGGTTTTCTAGTTCTTCTCGTGGAATTGCGTTTACTTTCAAGGGATCACATGGGGCAAAGTGGTGGCCATCTACGCTGTAGCAGCCGGGCTGGCGGTGGACTGTGTGCGTCAGGGCCATCCAGTCATGGTGCACACCATAGTGGACAGTCTGGGAGAGTTTGTGCGTAGGAACCTGGTCCCATGGCTCAAAAAGCGAGGAGGATGGGTAAGTGTTCATTCTCGGTATTGCCACCTTCATGAACCAAGACTGGTCCTGACCTCTAGAGGCCATATGAGGAAATTAAGTATTGTTACCATGCTGTGTTAGTGCATTTATTTTCTTTGTGCTACTGCAATTCCATACTATACCTGTTTTTTGTTTTTAAGAAATTGTTACTTTGATTCGGCAAGGACTCATTAAATTGATCAAAAAGGCACAGTAAAGATATTTTATATTGTTACAAAATATTTCTGTTGTATCATGGTATTACACAAAAATACTAAGCAGCACAACTGTTTTCAGCAATGATAATAAGAAATATTTCTTGAGCAGTAAATCAGCATATCTGAATGATTTCTGAAGGATCATGTGACACTGAAGACTGGAGTAATGGCTGCTGAACATTCAGCTTTGCCATCACAGGAATAAATTGCTATTTAAAATGCATTAAAAATGACAAAATGGCTATTTTAAACTGTAATATTTCACAATTTATATAGTTTTTACTGTATTTTCTGATCAAATTAATGCAGCCCTGGTGAGAAGTTTCTTTTAAAAAAATATTATTGACCCCAAACTATGTGATATGTAAGTGTGTCAAATGTTTCCTTTTCATCTGTCTTTCCAGGGGGACATTTTAAAATGTGTGGTGAACATGGACTCTAGAGCTCGTGCCCACTGGTTATCAACAGCTGTGTTCTCATGGAGGCAATTCTTAAAGACCATGTACATCTACCTGACGAAGTAGCCTCGTGCAGGAAATCATCCTGTTGACTGAGAACTGAATCTTTCCCTCCCAGGACTATTTGAATGGTCCATTGTACTGTTTGTGGAGCAAACGGCCCCTCACAAAGGTCATAGCACGTCACCCGGGTTCAACCGCACCTTAATCCTCTTTTACCTTTCATTATTTCTTTAAAATATACTATGTATAGACTGAAACAAATACTATGAGCTGACATTGTGGGGGTGTGGGGGGTGGCACTGTGAAGGAATATGTGCTATATTTATTGTTGGAGCTACATAATATCTGTCTTCCTTAGTTTAAACTGACCCAGAAATATGGTATGCAGGTATTGGAGCTCTTTTTGTGCCGCCACATTGCATGGATTCATTCCACTGAGATTTTATACTGAATATCTGTGGTGATGAGTGAAACATTTAAATGTTTGACAGTCTTCAGATTTTAATTTTTACAAAATTGCTTAAAATGATGTTTGGAGTGTCACTTTGCACTTTCAGTTGTACAGTTTGTGTGGTGTGTGTGAAACACTGTTGTCACCAGCTGTATACATCTTAAAATAAAGATTTTAATGTGTGAAATGAAAAAGAAGTTGAACATTTATAAACGGAAAGGGTTCCAGTGGTCATGGAAAACCTGGAAATATCAGGGAAATTATAAATGTTTTTCCCCCCAAGAAAGACTATTAAAATCAGAAGTCACACACAAAAAAGCAAATTTCTATAGTCAAATATACACTACCGTTCAAAGTTTTGGGTTGGTAAGATAAAAAAAAAAATGTTGCTTATGCTCACCAGAACTGCATTTACTTGATCAGAAATACAGTAAAAAAAACAGTAATATTGTTAAATATTATTACAAATTAAAATAACTGTTTTGAACTTCAATATATGTTAACTCCAATCTTCAGTGTCACATGATCCTTCAGAAATCATTCTAATATGCCAATTTGGTGCTGAAGAAACATTTCCTATTATTACCAATGTTGAAAATAATTGTGCTGCGTAACATCTTTCGGGAAACAGTGATGTATTTATTTCAGGACTTATTGATAAAAATAAAGTAAAAAAAACAGCATGTATTTGCAATATTTGTGTCTTTGTAATGATGTAAAAGTCTTTAATCACTTTTGATCAATTTAATGCATTGTTGCTCAAAAGTATTAATTTTTCAAAAAACACATTAACGACAAACTTTTTAATTATAGTGTTGATTTGACTTGACTGACTATAAATCCATCATTTTGAGTGCGATCTCTATTAAACGATTTCTTTAAAAATTATTTTCCATTTGTTCATGATTACTGAAAAGCCACAATTAATTCAACAAAAGGTAGGGGCCTTTGTTTCTGTTAGTGAATTAATGTATACCCAATGAAATACCATTAAACATATAAATACTAAAAGCTTCTTGAGTTATGATTGGGGGGAAAAAATACTAATTTTAATTAATTTAATTTCCCTTATTGATAAAAATAAAGTAAAAAAAACAGCATGTATTTGCAATATTTGTGTCTTTGTAATGATGTAAAAGTCTTTAATCACTTTTGATCAATTTAATGCATTGTTGCTCAAAAGTATTAATTTTTCAAAAAACACATTAACGACAAACTTTTTAATTATAGTGTTGATTTGACTTGACTGACTATAAATCCATCATTTTGAGTGCGATCTCTATTAAACGATTTCTTTAAAAATTATTTTCCATTTGTTCATGATTACTGAAAAGCCACAATTAATTCAACAAAAGGTAGGGGCCTTTGTTTCTGTTAGTGAATTAATGTATCCCCAATGAAATACCATTAAACATATAAATACTAAAAGCTTCTTGAGTTATGATTGGGGGGAAAAATACTAATTTTAATTAATTTAATTTCTAAACTTAATCTTAAGGAAACAGATATGAGAAAATGAACTGCATTTTCTGCAAAGACAGAGTTTGCCATGAACAAACTTCACACAATTTAAATTTGAAAAGACAATTTCATATTTTTATTGTAGTTGCTCTACATTATACAAAACGACCCCTTTATATATTGTAACAATATTTGCTTGTTTTGTTGGGAAGACAGGTCAGATCACATCTATTACTTTAGATAACATTCTTACTCACAGATATATTACCATCACCCACAGGTTACTATATATAAACCATCAATATTTTGTGTCAGATGAGTACATTAGTACAAGTGCTTTTCACAAACACATCTTCCTCCCACATGACAGCCAGTTAATCAGTCCTGCGGTAAGTGATGTGCAAATGCTGCGTCAGAGGCTGTCCATCCAGTGCCATAGAGATCGTCTGTTCCAGCCTTCCATCCGGCTTCAACTGGATGTGCCTGGAGATCTGATCAAAAATCTAAATTATTAGTGGAACATTATTCTAATTACTATGCCAGTTCAGTAATATTCAAGACATATTTTCTTTATGAAAATATCACTACAGAGCTTATTGTTTCATTAATCTGACAAGGTGCACATTAAACGTTTTGTGTTATGAGACCTGTTGAACATAAGGCTGCTTGGCAAAAGATGTTCTAGCCAGGGCAGTACTGTGCAGAGTCAGCTGCTGCCCAGTGAGTTCCCCCTCCTCAATCTCCACAAGACCTGGAAGAGGTAGAAACAGTTGATTTAAAAAAATACATGGTACTATAGACAGTGCTGCGCAGATTACTTTCAAATTTGTAGTTTGTTAATGATTACAAATGACACTGCAACAATTGTAGTTAATAACGTAATCCATTAGATTACACATTTTAGGTAATCTACTCTGACTACTTTTTGATTAATTTAAAAGCACAATATGTAATTTTCACCGCTAGAGGGCGCGTATTCAAAATAAACAAAGAAGCAAAGGCGTAGTTTGATGATGCCGTGACTGAGTGTGGAGTGGGAGTTGTCGTCTTCATCCCCACAGCCGATGCAATCCGACGGGACCACGGCAGAAATCATGTTCATGGATGAGCTAATGATTTATTAACATAGTAGAATGAAGCGAAACGAGGCCGCTGAACGAGCGTGACACACGGCTCGAAAGCAGCGGAGCTTTTATTATGCCACAGTCAACTGCTTCCGCTCCTTCCGGTGACGGTCGTGCGTATGTGGGGGGAAAAAGCAGTGGCTGTTTTATCATACTAGATACATTTGAAAGTTCTGTTATAATGCTACTCTGTGCGGTCTTCACCGGTCTATTAAAGCACACAACATATTAAAGTGTCTTTGGTGTTTCCATGTTTTCTACAAAACAAAACCGGAAATCGAGGGGTTATGACGTCATTGGCAGGCGACACAATGACACTATGGACACGGTCCGTGTCACTAGTTAAAATTCATTATTTCTCAGGATTTAAACATTCTTCGAAACATTAGGGATAATGTAAGTACACAAGTCAGCAAAATATATAACACTGTTCTAGTGGTTTTTGGATATTTTAATAAAAAAATCTTACATATTGTGCCTTTAAGAATCCTTTCGAATATAAAATTATATAGTTATATACACTACCAGACAAAAGTTTTCAGGCAGTAAGATGTTTAAAGCTTTTTTAAAGAATTCTCTTCAGCTCACCAAGCCTGCATTTATTTGATCCAAAATACAGTATCATGGAAAAACATACCCATACTGAAAAGCTAAAAATTTTTGAACAGTAAGATTTATAATGTTTTTAAAGTCTCTTCTGCTCCCCAAGCCTGCATTTATTTGATCCAAAATACAGCAAAAGCAGTAATAGTGTGAACTATTTTTATTGTTTAAAATAAAACTGCTGTCTATTTGAATATATTTTAAAATGTAATTGATTCCTGTGATTTCAAAGCTGAATTTTTAGCATCATTACTCCAGTCACATGATCTTTCAGTATAAAACAATATATAATAAAATGATAAAGAAAGAAAATATATTGCATTTTTATCAACATCAAGGACCCTGAACTGGATGTTGTGCAGGAAAAGAAGAGGGTTCATAAGCTAATGAAAAGATAATCATTAATATAAATTAATAGATGTAATATATTCATAAAATGTAAATAAATAAATCAATAAACACTTGAACACTAAAATGAAATATTTTATTTCTCTACATGCATGGCATGTGACCATTAACAGAGTATCAACTAGTTATGAATGTGTATGCTGCCATTGTGTAAATAATATGTAATCATTTAATCAATAAAAGTAGCTGTAGTACGATTATGAGAATTTTAACTAACAATCCAATTACAAGCACTTCATTTTTGGAATCTGATTACATAAGAAAAGTTAAAAAAACAAAACAAATCAAACACCTGAGTTCTGTGCGAGGATGAAGGCCACCCTGTTGGTGCCTGGCTGAATCCTGATGAATCCACACTCCCTGTGAAGTGGCTTTTTGCTCTCAGCATGGAATGCATTAAACCTAAAATAAATTAAATAATTTTTGACTGTCTGCCTGTGGGTCAGAACATGGCATAATAAAAAAGTTTTTTTTTAAAGCCTCTGGGTTGTTTTGTTACTTACATAAAATTAATCACGGGCTGTCCTACATGTGAGAAATGAAGAGTCTCTGTGTAACGAAAAGCCGTGATGGAGGGGAAGGATCCTTCTCCTGGCTCATCGGACTGCCAGGTTCCCAGGAGCCAGTCCAGCGGCAGCACTGCGGGGTTCAGCTCCGCTGTGGAAACACGGAGGCCAGGGGAAATAAGGTCGAAGCACGCTTGTCCGTGATGTAAAATATGTTCACGTTCTGATGCACCTGCTGATTATTAAATGCATGTTTCATTTGAATGGTAATACGTTTGACCTACAGACAACAGCTCGGAAATCCATAAGAAATAAGACAAATCAGGTGTTTATGAATTTAAATGGAATCATCATGTTGTCCTACCAGAGTGATTGAATGGGCATGACATTCCGCTTGAATACTTTCAAGTAACCACGAATGTTATCAATTTAAGTGACACTAAATTTATTTCGCACTGCAGTTGAACCACTTTCTGTTTGCCATCGCAGTGCGTGTCTACTTCCTGATTAGACACTAGGAATTCTGGGAGATGTAGTTGTTAGGCGCTCTATCGATAGCCTACTATGGCCGCTTTCGAAGCACTGTTTCGTGAAACTTCGAAACTTTTGCGAATCATTTGTTTCGAAACAGTGGTTCGGAGCGCGTATCAAACTGCCAAAGTCAAGTGATTTTAGTAAACGAGGCTTCATACGTCATAAATGTTTCGAAATTCCAATGGCTTTCCATTGGGGGGCGATCTCTGTGAA